GAAGAGTCAACGAGACAGGAGGATGACAAACCCCCTGTTGATGAGTACTTCACCTGCATCTGCACCACCCCCGTTCGCCCCCCTCCACCTGGGACTCACTCCGATGCGGTTCAGTGTGACCACTGCTTCGCAAGGTTCCACGGCGTTTGCGCAGCTAACGGTGGTTCATGCCCCTTCTGTGATCATCATCATTGGAATGGTGCCATCCACAAGGAACGGAGTTGGCACTTCTGTTTCCTGCCGACCATCCTCCTTAAAGCACCTCCAATAACCAAAAATTATTCGGAAGCCTGGAAGCAGCTGGAGATCATTGTTCGTCGGATAGATCGTTTGTGCGAAGTCATCGGCCAATTCTTGACGTATGCCTCACAACCCGGCAACAAACGGGCCGAATATATTCCTCAAGTGCGTCATTACATGCGCAAATTGTACAAGATCCAGTTTGCTGTGTCTCCGAGTCGCGAAGTCTCATACGGTCTCGACCTCGCTGGTCTGCATCGCATCCTCGCTGGTCAACCTCCAGCTGTTCGAGTCAAGAAGAGGCGAAGGCCAAAATTTACTTTTGGTCAAGATGTCGACAAGGATTGGCTGGATGGAACGCGCTGCATATGCCGCGGTCGCACGCCATACCTCATCAATTATCCAACCGTTGAATGCGAAGCTTGCAAAAGACGTTACCACTCTGGCTGTGTCTTCTTCCCTATAGAGGCCAACGTCACCGGCAGCAATCGATTTATGTGCCCGCTGTGTTGTTTGCGTAGGAGCCGGCCATACATCTATTCAGAAGTCCGTGTCAAGCACGTTGGTCAGTAAAATCCGTTAAACGTATTGCCCACACTAACGGACCAGCAGATAACCAAGATCCAGACACGTATGTCAATACGAGCGTAATGCTGGACACCTTCAGCAAAGATGTTATTTATACGAAGATGTTACCCCCATATACTCAAACATTATTCGTGGAACTCATACGGTTTTTGCCCGGCCAGCCAGATCTCAATAACGGCAATGCGCCAGCTTCACGGAGCGTTCCAGCGCATACAATGCTTCACAGTGCTGAACCTGGACCTTCTACGCACCACCGGCATTCGCATATTCACAGCGCTCCCATACCACTTCCCACACCACCAACACCTGTTTATGAGCTTGCAAGGCAGCCATCAGCAAACGGGCATCACGTCCCACCTCCCCCACCTTGGCAATCCTACCCACAGTCACCACACAACAAGAAGCGTAAGTATGCGGATGACACTCCACAAGACAACCCGGAGCCGAGATCACCCAAGCAGCGACGCCTTCCTCAAACTCCTGTTCTCCCGCCCGCGAGCGTAGCAGCTCGTTCGATGCAGCAGACGCTTTCACCTTCACTGGCCATGATTGTATCACCAGTTGACACCGAGCCTTCCCCTCGGCGACCGCCTTCAATCCCTCCTCCTTATGCTAGACCACCTTCCTCCCCGTCTCTTAACACAATGAATGGAGAAAGCTCTTCTGTGAAGTCAGTAAAGTTGTTGGTTGGAAATCACAAATAGACCTCTAGTGTATTCTTTCATGCGTCATTTACGAATTTTGGTTTGGTTTTGATAAGTCTATGGTGTACTTGTTATTTGTTGACCGTAGTTGCAATCGTCCTCACTACCCTTTCTATGGAATGTTGATGTACGTGAATATTACATATATGAATGGGAAAAGAAGCGAAGTTGCGAATGGGAAATTGAGGACGATCCTGGAGTTCTCCCGCGAACTCGATAAAAGTCTAGGCGCAAATCACGATAACGAGATCTGGAATAACAAATGATGACAGCGAACCAGAAAGGCGAAGGTCTAGAGGTCTAGATACTGAGAACAGAATTAAAACAAAACGATCAACCCTCAATGCGTTTATCGTTTAACCATGAGTTTGTATGTAGTGTACCCGCCAATGATGCCAAAGGCTGCAAGCGCGGCAAGGATCCCAGCGAACCAGTGGTAAGTGACCTAAAAAAACAAATAAACAGCGGCGGTTCGCAAATGGTAGCCTACATACCGTATCATCCTGGCCTGGGACGTGTACATTCATACCCCACATACCTGGATGAGTCATGAGGACACAGATCATCGACGGTGAAGAGAAGGCACTGACCCGTTACCAAGTTCATAGGGATGAGAATCGTACCCAATGCCGTCAACTTCGAGAGGACATCGTTGATCTGGTTGTTAGCATCTGTCATTTCGATGGAAATCTGCGCCAAGTAGTTGGAGTGCGACCGGGACAGGATTTTTTCGTAGTGATTTAGATTTTGCGTCATGGTTATCAAGTGGTCCTAACAACTCATTGGAATCAATAAGTAGTAAATTTAGCGTCGGCAGCAACTAACCTGAATGTCGGAAAGATATAGACCCTTTTATAAAGATGAGTCGTGGCACGGATGACCTGTACCGAATAACTCACGATGTCTGACGTTGGTGCCACCCTCCAGTTTTCGTTGCATCTCTTCGCGAGCCCCTTGACTACATCCGCCTTATTACCCATCAAGCGCAGTAATCCCATGACTTTCTTGCGACATGTTCCGATCCTTCTCAACATGTCACTTTGCTCTGCCTCCTTCAAAATAAGGACGAGCTCATCGATAGAGTCCACTTCATATTCAATGGATTGGATAAGAGGTCCGAAGGCATCGGTGATATCATCGATCAATGCATACGATATCCAGTCTGATGTGACATTAATGTAGTCTTTGAGCTGCTTTATTCTTCGGCGGACATTTTGTGGATGTGGGGTGGGACGAAAATGGAACTAGAAGGCTTGTAAATAACACATTATAGGAAAACAAACGAAGCACTTACAGATAAAGTTCCCTCTCTAAATACAATAATGTACATGTTCAGGGGCTCCAGGTGCATGGGGCTGTAAGGATCCTGATCGAAGCTCCGGAAACAGACAAGGTAGTAGTTCCGGAACAATTCAATTTTTTCGCGAGCTTCTTCCATTTGGATGTCTTCAACGGTCAAAGGGTGGATAGAGAATACCTAAGACAATGCTTGAGTTCAGAGAACCAACCGTTTGCGTAGGCAGCACCTTGCTCAGAACCTTCATCTCTTCATCTGTCGGGCTTAGAACATCTAGCCACCACGTATTCCCCTCAAGCTCGCCACCACTCCTGAGACTATTTGGTGGGCCTGAATTACTAGCACCGCCCTTCTCTGGACGACCCCCGTTTTGGTTAAGGGTTGCGAAATCTGGGGGCCGCTTGTTCGCGTCTTGAACAGAAGCTGCCCCTTGGTGTAGTGAAGGCACGGGAACAGGGGCAGACCCATCCTTTGCATCTCGCGGACGGTCAGGAGGAGCCAGACCAGTAAACAAATCCTCGAAGGACTGCCCGTCTGCAGGAAGTTCGCTGAGGCTTCGCGCATGAATAGTTGCAGACAACGCATTGGAGTAAAACGAGAAGCGGTAAGGTCTGTCATGACCAGGTGTCATGATCCCACCCATCCCTGCAGCGTTGTACTGATTTGTTGACACGTTATCTGAGGATGGGATGGCACTTAAATGCCCATGTCCCATAAGCCGGCTTGGAAGAGTGAAGTTTGGGTCTCCACCGTGGTTCTCAAATAGGGCCATCTTGCCCCGGGTGCTTTTCCGACTATGCCTTGGGACAGGACTGCTCTGGCTGAGCTTACGTTGTCGAATATTACCGCGATAAGAAGAGTCAAATGCAGCGTCAAATGGAGGAGTTCCTCCAGGTAGAGATGCGGCCAGTTCTGGACCCCCGTTCTGTGCAAAGCTTGGGAGACGCAACCGGAATGCTGTGCCATGGGTATCCGTAGGTGATGATATGCCTAACTGAGTCTTTTCTTGAGCCGCAAAGGCTTCCAGATGAGCAAAGGAAAAAGCGGAACGAGATGCATTCGCTTGATACACGGGAAGGCCGGGCATGGAAGCGAGAGCTTCACTGCGAATCGGTTGATACTCGCTTGTCATAGTCGTAAGAAGCGCTGGGTCATGGGTTTGGTCAAGGTGCTGCATCCGCAAGTCGATAGGAGTTAGGGATCGTGGCGAGTGCAGCCCGTCAGAGCCGCAGTTCACACCATCATGATTGATGTTATTAATTCTGTCCCCACGAGCTATATCGATGTCGTGTTCCTCGATAGCTGAGAAGTGAGAGAAAGGGGGCGCTGTTTCAGGGTGCGGGACCGATTCGTATTCAAGTAATGCTGCTGGAGGCGTCGTTGTAGTCTCTCTCCGGGCCCTGGACAAATGCAGAGCCATGTCTACATCCAATGTTCTCTGCCTCTCCCTCACTTCTGGGTCATTCAGATCATAAGAGGAGATAAGCGTCGGCGAGATGTGGGGTCGAGACCCAGATTCCACCGCGTCAGTTTGACACGACAAACATTCTCTATTATCCCTTCGTCGAACAGGAGAAGCGGCTCTGATTGAAACAGGGGAGCTCGAGAGCACGGGCGGATCATGGAAAGTTGGAGAAGTCATGGGGCCAACCTACGAGGCCTGGTCAGCGAACCGCGCAAATTTATGGAGCTTTAAATGCTGAGCGCCGTACCAGATTTGAAGAAAAGTGTATGCTAATAGCTCACCTAATTGATAACCTGTCTTAAGTTAAGTTGCTTGACACATTAACCTTGAAAGACAAACCAATTTCCACTGCAGCAACTCATTATGAAGGTGAGTGCGCTATTTGGCAAGAGGCCTCTCATCCAAACATGACCAAATAGACCCCATAGAAGTGCCTGTTCTTTCTGGAATCGTATCACTGGTCTTTAACAGATAATTACCAACAAACATATGGAGAGGACGTGAGGACGAGGCCCTCCAAGCCTCGGTCCATGCAACTTCGGAAGTTGAGAAGATACGATATAGGAAAGGCGTCGTCAACTTCAGTCATCAGCGGTAAAAATATCAAAGTCCCTTTCGAGCGCATTCCAGCTGGGATTTACATATCCCTTTCCCCAGGAAAAGCTGGAAATCAACCGTCAGAGTCCTGTCATCAGACGGATATGTAATGTGGGGCGAGACCGAAACCTTCCAAGTTCCCAATGTAGACTTTTGAACACGATTCGACGACTCATCTTCTATTTGTAGAACAGTCGATGCATCATCATCATTATCACTGTCATGTGGGCGTCCATCGAGCTCGATCAAATGTTAGGCAATAGGGAAGTCATCAGAAAATTAGAGATTTCACGATATGAGCTGCTCGGTCATGGAGATGAGCCATCCAGTGAGTAACCTGCTTCCCATTCATACAATTGCTTGTGATAATCAGGACAGTGTAAAGTACGCTGACCTTTGCATTTGTTGTTGACTTTTGTTGACCAAACACCAACTGCAGTCCATCATCAACTGCGAGATTGCTCGAAATGCAGATGCAGGCCATGCACGACTCGCAAAATATGTGACACGCAAAATCAAGAGGGTTTCTTACCTGAATGATGCCGTCAAGCGTTTTCAGTTGTTCTGGACCAGTGCTTAGTCGGCCATCCTGGCCAGGAAGCAGCTCTCACCAACCTCGCATGAGCCCCCCTTATCGACTTTGTTCGAGTCACTTTTATCTTTTGCGAAGCCCTTGCGTTGCGTCCGCATGGCCACCCCAATCATCCTTATCCATCTATTATCTCACCGAACTGTTGACATGGTGTTACAACAGGGTGCACACCGCCGTATATATCCACGAATCCACGCAACTGCCATCCTGCAAGCCATTATCACTCTGTCCAGAGGGCACCTACCTTCGTAGCATCGCGGTAGGAGCAAATCGCGTCGATTATGTGTTCCACGAATAAAACCAACTTCTAATAGACGCATCCGATGAAGGCATCCACCTTCGATGAATCGTGCTCGGACTCTGTCCTCTTGGCAATGGACACCGTCCGGGATCGCTCGACAAGCTTGCGTGGGCCTTTGTGTAACGCCTTCAACAATATTCAACAGTTTTGATTGTTTAGACGAGTGCATACAATGTTATCGTGAAGCCGTTTCTCTGCCTTGGGGGTTCTGAACGCTAACTTGGCCTCGTCGCCGTATTACTGCTTCTACCACCACAGCAACTCTCTTGGTCTCAACGAGGCCATTTTTTGTACAAAGAAGCGCTGCGCCTGCGCCCTGTTGGGCACAGTCACCGCAGCAGAGCAGTACTATCATACATCTACATTGGAGGCCTATAACACATATTTTGACCTTCTTGCCGGTAATTTGGCAACACGATCATTGACAATTTCACGGCGCGAAGTTGCCACTGCCTTCATCAGTGCCAGATCACTCCCTGTAGATGCGGCATCCGCCGTGACGATCTATGACACGCAGATGAACTCGTGGAGCAGGATCGTGGCCAGCGGTGGTCGTTGTCCTCGCCTGAGGAAGATCTCGAGTTCACGAGTTTCAACCTAGCCCACAAGTTCTCAGAGCTCAACAAGGTTTCTGATGCTCAATGTTCCGGGTCAGCACTCTACGCAGCTCATCCCTTTCGAACGAAGGCAGACGGACGTGGGCGGGAACTATTACATCTGTTCTTACTCGCCGACACTTTCAGCTCAGATGGGATCTAGACATATGATGAAGGCATGTGGGACTCCATCTTTCACTGCAATTGTACAAAGTGAACCGGGCGCGGGACAAGGCGAGGCGCTCTTGACTATCGACAGCGAGACTGAGCTTTGTCTCTACAACAACCAACCCCACTACTCACCCTGGCGACAACTTCACATGAGTAGGTGCACTCGATGCTTTCCAACGCAACACCTGGGTGCACCTCGTTTGTCATGGAAAGCAGGACCGCAAGCAGCCTTATGACTCACGTTGCGACATGAGAGACAAACCTTTGATATCATGGAGAACGACACTTCACACTCTGAATTCGCATTGTTATCAGTGTGTCATACCGCTGTTGGCAATAAGGAGACGCCCGACGAAGTCACCCACCTCGCAACTGGACTCCAGTTTTCGGGATCATGTTCCGAGCGTTGGTTGCATATGTTCCTTGTGCATTTGTGCAGGTGGAACACGCTGGTACTGTGAGTTTGACTCATTGCAAGAGCGGCTTTAACTTGAATCAGAAGCATGGATAAGTAAATCAGGATCCTTCGCATTTGTCCCAGAGATAGCGTGGCAAAACAATTCTGCTAAGTTGGGGTTCGAACTCTATCGGGACCTAATTACTACTAAAGTCGTGTTCGGGGCAGGAAGCCTGAAGCCTGAAGAAGTCAATTAGGTATCATGAAATTCACCGTTATTTATTGGGCTATGTTTCTCCATGAAATAATTCATGGGAATGGATATTACCACGAAAAAACTCAGACGGATTGATAGCTCTTGATTATTCATTTTGGTCATCTAGCTTACCACTTCTATTTAGCAAGCTCGTGGTGCTGGAAACAGGGTCCCACCTTTTACATATTGTTCAGGCGGAACAAGGGTGGAATACCTCCCAGGATGGCTAGCTAAGAACTTGGAAATTCGCTGCTTCTGACAACCCGCTATCGCGCATTTGGTGGTACGTTGTGCACCCTCAGTGCCATTCCAAGGTACTCCGCCCGACCAAGGGGACCCTTTTGTTTGTCCAGCTCCACGAGTAAATATATAGAAGCGGTAAAACGGAAATCTGGTGTATCGATTAACTGTGACTTACTAATTCTCTCATGTTGATCCGAGATGAACATCAAAATCATCAAATTCCCCCATCGAGAAAAGGTTATAACGTAAAATAGACAAAGAATAAAAATCAACCCCTGGCGGGACTCGAACCCGCAACCTCCAGATGCGCTTCATTAGTAGAAGTCTGACGTCATAGCCATTAGACAACAAGGGCTTGTGTGACAAGCGCCAAATGACGTTCATGATCCTGAGCTCATTTTCCCATGTAACATATCCCAGATGATCGTTCTCCAAGTCTCGTTGGAACCGTTTAGGGTTCTGTAGCTAGCTAGCGCCGCACAAAAACCTGTTGCACTGGTTATAAATAACGGCCAGACAAATCAATTCACTTGAAGCGTGTATCAATGGTTCTGAAGACCTCCACGAGTTGAACAATTCTGATTCGAGGATTCGGGCCGCGGAGGATGGCCAAAAAAACATGTGTTGCTAAACACCGTGACCATATGTGGAAAATTTGTATTGCTTTGGGGCATTTGGAGTCATGACAGCAGTAGCATAGCAGCACATAGAAGAATCGACATTGAATAGAATTTCTTACACTTATGAGGATAACTTACATTTACCAGACGGTTGCTTCGGCCACGTTACATCGACTCATGATGGCAAAGACTTCGAGTGTTTAAACTCCCACATAGACAGCACAGAGTTACTATTAAGTAGCGAGTGCCACGTAACATATCGCTACGTAGTGCGTGGGGTCATTACAATTACCTCGTCATCAAAAGAGAGTTCCCCAGATTCCTGCATGACGGTAAAAAAAACAGACCACAACCCCCTAGTGTCGGACCAAACCCGGCACCCAGCCTGCCTCGTGCTCGTAATGATCCCATGTTCTTGGGTATAAATTGCATCAGGAATTTTCCCCTTTCCTCCAACTCACATTCCTCAAACGCTCAGCGACGTCAGCGTGCTCCACACCTTTGTTTCCCTACACGCACAAGTTCACCATGGAAAGTCGGTCTGTCTATAATGTATGATCATCTTCTTTCTTAATTTCGATTGCGAAGATTGAACAGGAGATCACCAGGTGTCTCGTCGTAAGGTGTACACTCCATCATATGTATATGATGGCGCCTCGCAGTTATCATCCGTCTCATCCGATACTTTCGGAAGTTCAGACGAACACGCTGGATGCTGGTCATGGTGGGGTGGTCTTTGGCGCTGCTTGAGGTGCTGGTGACACTCTGGTCAGTAGCCTGTCATAATTGATCGCACTGAGCTGATCATACCATACTCTTCTAGGTGAAGATACACCTTCTCATATTCAAGGTTGAACGGCTTGCTCACAGCATGGATGTAAGTGGCCCAGGCGGCCAACACACCATAGAGTGATCGCAATTCATTCCCGTAGCCATGCCTTGGAAGAAGGAAGACGGCGTTCCTTCATTTTCAGGAATCGTTCTACACATAGCATATATATAGTCAGCCAATAGTAATGCACGTACCACTATTTTGTCTCATACCGACTAGGATCCTTCCGCTTGTCCAACGTAGTTGCAAACCTTACCATGGATTGGGCATCTACGACTGCTTCCGTTGCGTCAGCCACATGAAAGCCCCGCCAGCGGGGATAACGCTCATTGTTCGGCAGTCAATCTTCTATGCAAGCAAGTCATTGATTAAGAATGCATGCTGCAAAAGGGTGTTGAACATGCGTTCTGGAAAAATTCCCAAAGTCTGACTGTACCCCGAATTCTGCTGGGAAGGTTCGGATATGAAAACAGAATCCATGAGCTACAAATACAATGCAGATGGTTCTACCACTTATCACTGGTGCATTAGGGTCCATCTCTTGCCAGTACCGCTATCTCTACTTTTGTCCTCAAACCCCTCCAACGTGTCCTCGCCCCTATCTGCTGAGATTCCGTAACAGGTAATTCCGTCAGCACCTTCGCAATGAAGTTTGCGTCCGTCAGAGGGGTCAAATCATGGCGACTGGGAAGTCGCTGAAGTTGACAGTTATCAAGGGATGAGTCAACACGAAAGGAAACATTAGACGCACCCTCTTAACGCCATCATACGGTGCTTCCCAACCACTCAATTGACGTATGACTAACGAAGGGCTTGAGCTGAAAGAATGATATATTCTCGTGTCATGTGTGCGGAAAAGCACATTATCCACACGAAGCGTGAATCGCGACAAAATGAATATACACGTTGGCATGACGCGCTTCAATCCGGCCTAGTCAGATAACAGAAAACTATAGGGACAACAGCACGAACTATTCGCACGAGAAGGTTGGATGATCCATTATCATGTAGTTCATCCTCAAAAAGAGGGATTTCCGCGTAGAATAATATCGGATCTGGTCGCGTGAGCTCAGAGAGCGGAATAGAATGAGATGGGTTGTCTTGATCGGCATCTATCCATTGTATTGAAGAACTTGGCGAATAGGTGCCTAGTGCAGAATCAAGGTGATGACCAGGATAAGTCATGGTGTAAGTCCAGTCATAATGCTTGGCTGCGACTGTAACAGGCAACGGAAGGTTCGTTCCAGGGTCTGTGCTGGTGGGTACGCTCAAAATCACATTGGTAGATATGTAGCACGGATTCCTCACCGGCTTTTAAGCCAGGCATCTGCATAGCCAACCTTGACTCCACCATCGCCCTCCCCGAGCTCACCTTTTTTCACACACTTGAGGGCATTATGAGTGTCAAACATCATCTTCCACCCAGATGGCTGATGTTCGAGAGATAGATAGTTACTTCCAAACGTCATTTCAGGCAACGGGAATCCCAGCGAAGCTTGCAACGCGTCGCACTCTGACGCGCTAGATATTGGGTTGGTGGACGCGATTATCACCCAATCATTGATTTCGATTGCACGTGAGTTGGGAGTCTCTGATAGCTTGTGTTGCGGTACCGCGGCTACTGAAGACATGACTTCAGTAAGAAAGTAACTCTTTGATATGATCTCCTAGGAAGTGACTGTTGTCGCCGTCGTAGCTGTCGTCGTCAAAGATGATCAACCTTGATCGGAGTTTCAAAACTACAAGTGTAGTACTCTAGTAGTCTGACTCTCAAGTACTCGAACTCGACTAGAAGTAAGTACACTAGAGATCATGGAGGGGTCTCGTCCAGCGACACCAGAAGCACCTCCAGAAAACCTATGGTCGTCGATATTGGATTCAGTTTCTTCTTCACGATCAATCCCTTCAAAACAAGTTCTGCTTCTAGGTCCTTCGTCGTCTGGCAAGTCCGTACTTGCCTCGGCCTTGCTACAGAAACCAGTTTCTGAAGAGAGCAAAGACGAGACACGGTCAGATTTCGCTCTTGGATATGATTGGGCCGATATAAGAGATGACGGCGACGAGGGTGTGCTTCACTGCTTCTCAAGTTTCTGTACATGAAGCGTGCTAATGCCGTGACTAGACACCTTGGCGCGTCTATCGGTGTACACAGTACCTTCGGATGCGATAGCTCATACTTCTTTGATACCACACTTTCTGCCTCCTCGGGTATCGCTGCCTCATACCCTTGTAATGATTGTCTTGGATTGGACGCGCCCTTGGACATTTTTAGACAATCTTCAGACGTGGCTCAAGTGGGTAGAGATATGGGCGAAGGGTGATGGATCTCGGGATCTCGAAATCGTTCGAGAAGAGAATCATGAAAGATGTATGTTCATTTGATTGAGTCAATCCGATAGCTGACATTATCCTGCAGTGCAACATCATTTACAGCATTACACTGAGCCCTCCGTCGACGCAGTCCCTACCACATCTAATATTTCCTCGAATACAGTCCTACCGCTCGGCCCTGGCACTCTAACCCACAATTCTGCCGGTGTGCCGATTATTGTTGTCTGCACCAAATCAGACCTGATAGACGAGGGAAATGATCTCGTGGGCGCCAGCAGTTCCGGTATGGGTGGCATGGTGAAAGGTAAAGGTGGTGAGTGGGAGGAACGTACGGATGGCGTAATGCAGGTTCTACGAACGATTTGTTTAAAATGTAAGTTTTCTGTAAACTATATTGAGCATCTCATCACACTACTCTAGATGGAGCATCATTATTTTATACCACGCAGCAACCTAACACATTACAGGTGCTGAGGCAATATGCCCTGCACCTCTTATTTATCCCACCGGCACCGTCTCCTATGGCATCGGGATCCGAGGCTCCGGCTCCTCTACGCAATCCATTTGTCTTTCATCATAAGCCAAATCCCCTAGACCGCGATCGCATCGTCGTTCCTGCTGGTTGGGATAGTTGGGGTAAGATTGGTGTCCTTCGAGAAGGGTTTGAGGCGAAGGTTTGGGGCGAAGCTTGGGAAGCAGACCTTGATGCCGACGTGGAGTCCGAGGATCATTCAGGTGCAACAAAGATGTATAAGGTGCTAGTACCAGATCGAGGCGCGAAGGTGAAATACGTTATTCTGGTAATCTGGCACACGGACCTCATCTTTTTTTGTGCAGCCACCCCCTTTACCTCCGTTTAATTCCCCCATGGCGGAGCAGGCGTTCCTTGCCAAGCATTATGACGAAAACGCCAAAAAGCCAGACCGGGATCCCCGTGGCGCTTTCCGAAATCCCACGGATACGGCCGCAGCCGGCATTGTTGGGCCACTGGGGAGCAGTAGTTTCAATCTTCCAAACGTTGAGCGTGCCCTCAGCGAGATGGAGGCCGGGATGGGAATGACCAGTTCACTCAACGCCAGCACGACCGCTGATGGGGCGCGCAGACTACCACAAAGGGCTGCAACGGGTGCAAACGCGACCACTCACGTTGGTCGACCACCAAGTTCGCCGACTACTGGAACTTCACCTAGTCCTGGAGGACAAACTCAACATGAAGTCTTACAAAACTTCTTCCAAAGTTTGCTTAGCTCACGGGATCGCGGTGGTGCCAGTGCAACAGCTAAGAGCGTGGGCCCAAAAACAAATGGCAATACTAGTGGTACAGACGATACAAGCTGATTGTATTCTTCTGGTGTACTTTAGAATGATGGATTTTGTATCATACACGCAGTGGACACTATTATTGTGTGTTTTCGGACAATAAACAAGTGACCAAACAAAAGCGACCGTCACCTTAAGACCCTACCTCCATCAACGGGCAGCCGAAATTTGCAGCAAAGTCCGGTCTTAACTAGTTTCGTCTCGCTAACTTGTCAGCCTCGTTGTAACCGCATTCCCCTGACACCACAACATGGGCAGATGGTGCGTTAATCTAATCAGTTCAAGTCTATCTAATCACGCATGTCGCGGCGTGTAGGACAGCCGAATATTGTGACGAACTGTTCGGCGCGAAAATGAGGAGCTTGGTGTATGAGTGTCTTCTTACTACATAACTTCTGGCTAAGGAGACCTCTGCTCTGCTGCAGCTCCGGAGCAATCAAGCGCCATAGGCTTGAGAAAATCGAACCCACGATAAGCTATGAGCATTTCGTGGAGGACTTAGACGGTGGTGACTCGTTTACCACTTCGTTGATTGAGATTCTGGTCAAGGTGCGCTTTCTGCCACATACCCTTTGTTCACTTCTCACCTCAGCTACAGGAAGTGGCAGACCGACACCATCGCCAGAACGCCACTGACCGTGGTCTAATTGGAGATCGCACCGCTAGAGCGCTGAGGAGGCTATCTAATCCAACCACTACCTACAGGGAACGTTATACTTGGCGCGCCACCAGTGGTCGAAGAGCAGTGGACCTTTCAGAGTACTTGTCGCGACCTCCGGATGAACTCGAAATGGACGAAGAGGCTGATGAGCTTGAGTCACTAGAGCAGTATGGCCTCGTGCCACTCGAGGGCGCTCGTATGAACACTGAGTTGTATGAGGCATACCGGCATCCTCCACGGCCGAATCCTCCAACAACAGCCTACCATGCGTTCTCTCCTGCTTTCTACCCTGCACCGAATCCAGCACCTGTGCCAGACGACAGGGTGCTTCCTCCTCTAGATTCACCCCCTGCTCCACGACTCGGTGGTTTGACACTTCCATCAGCGAGTGGCCTGCTCCATACCTCACTGAGTCGACAGCCCTCCATTCGCCGTCCTGTCAGAAGCAGAACAGCGGATTTCAGTGACTTCAGCGCACGGCGTCGAAACTCTTCGCGACACCTAGCTGATGAGGAGGGCCCATCGAGACTCGATTCGTCCAGCACATTCCCTGGTCCACACGTCGGTGCACCCAGGGAGGATTCCGACCCCCCTTCATCTGGACAGCCGGGCCAGGCCAGGCGGTTTTTCCCTTTCCGCTCAAGACGCTTTGAAGTCATTCCCACACCTCGACCTGCACCCAGTACGGGTGAAGACTGGCTCTTCCCACCAGCCCCGTGGTCATCATCCCCATCAGACCGCACTGCATCCTTGGCACTCGATAGCCAAGTTGGTGAAGAGCGCTCCCAGGCACCTCGGCTCCGGCGAGGCGGCCTTAGAGCACCGGAATCTATGCTCTCACGGCATGCTTCGCCTGCCATTAACGCAGGGCTGGCACTGAGGGTATCAGAGGAGATAGCTGCTATTGAGAACGCGGCAGCTGAGCGTCAAGAGCAGACGCGATCTGTATCAGAAGAGATATTACACTCTATTGGTGGACCATAGACTCGTAGAGATATGATTTATTCCTCGGTAGGATATTTGTATTATTTTTACTTTTACGCCTCCACTTTGCATATGTTTCGTAGCACATGCTAGCAAAACAGAACACTATTTAGACGGATCATACTGAATTTGTAAAGTAACTAAAGTTACGAGTTTGCCACGTCTAAAGTGTACTCCGGATCTTACTTAGATCTGCATGCACCGCATTCGAACGCCAGTCATGTGAATCAAGGTTGTAATAGCCAAATAAGATCTATTCCGAACATCCATGATCAAGAGACGCAACAGACCACAGCCCCGGGTACGAGAATCGTCGCCAGGCACAGAGCAACCTTCAGAGCTAGAGGAAGGCGAGGACGAAGACAAATCACTCCCGTACGTTATGACCCAAGAGCTAGTTCAATTCAGAGAATAAAACGCAGACAGCATCTCGGAGCTCATTGAGCTCAGGAAGCTCAGGAAGTCCAGACAAGGAATTGATGTTTCAAAACTATCGAAAGGCGATGCCAAGAAGAGGAAGCGCAAAACTGCAGAGGATGGACAAGAAGCCGAGGGCGGTCTGAGGCCTGGTGCGAGAGTGGATGAGTACGTGAACATGATACTCCAGTGTTTGTAGTTCCGCTCACTCTGAACACACAGCGAAGAAACCAGTACGGATGCGAAAGCAAGGCGAGCTGTTCGAACGAGCAACTTTACGCAGCAGACGAATGTTTTGGATGTCGACAAACACATGTGAGTGTGGTGTCTGTCTTAACTTATATTCTGACCTTGTTGTAGGATGGCATATATTGAAGAGAATCTGAAGATTCGCAGCCGCCCCTCAGACCCATCCGAATCCAAGCCTGGGGCAAATGCTCAAGACGAATTTTCTCTTTCCGAGCGGTGGAAAGGAGAAAAGAAAACTGCGGATGAGGGCAATGTTACTAACAGCATGGCTATGCTAACCGCCATTCCCGAGGTTGATCTCGGTATGGAGTAGGGTTTCCTCCATTCTAATCCATCTGATTTGGCTGACTTCGTGAGATAGCACACGATTGAAGAATATTGAAGAAACCGAGAAAGCGAAACGACAAGTTGCTGAAGTCCGCAAAGAACGCAAACGACCTAATGATGAGGAGCATCTCGTCGCAACTCGATGTTCGTTGTCTCTAGCTTGCTATTGTGAATTCACTATTGACGGACTGCTTAGTTTATCGGCCGCATCTCAAGCAGAAGTCTGACGCAGAAATTATGCGAGATGCCAAACTCGAAGCAATGGGTTTACCACCTCAAGAAGACAGAAGACCTCGCGGTGAACGTCCACAAATGGCGACCGATGAAGTGGTATGAAGACTGGTCTATTTGTCATAATCATTAACTCATATCTCTCAGGTCATGGAGCGCTTCAAGAAAAGAATGCGCAGGTGAACTACTATCTCTTTCCTGCGAATGATCTCCTGCTTTGTTTCCAGCGCTACCTGGTTGCCTCGAATCGCTCAGTACCTCTTGCTCGTTACGAATCGCGGAAAGATATACACCTTAAATCCCGTCTATTCCTCTACATGGCCAAGACCAAATCCTTCAACTTTCCAAAGTTGGGTGTACCGTATCCAGTGACTGCAATGATTATCAGCATATAAATATGTAACCTTGTTCGGCGCATTCATGAACTCACCAGGATCCCATCCAACCGCGGCCTGCGTACAGTTATCACATCAGTCGCTGAGGATCGTGAAACATGGATATAACTTACATTAAAGCCCTCAGTTTGACACCCTGGGTTGCGACCCTCGGTGATGTCATTCAATGCTGTGTATCCAACCGAATATAAGAAAGGGTTTAAGAATCCAAGAGCAGTCTTTCCGGCAGAAAGGCGTGCGTCGTTCAGCATGGAAACGAACGCAGTGAATGCAGGCGCAGCGCAGGATGTACCATCCAGTAGTGTCACCTGGCCTTGGTAAACCACCGAGAAGCTTGCTGCTTGTGATGACACGTCGGGGTATGCCTAAAGAAATATTTTTTACAAGACCTTCGCAAGTTGAAGGGTCAACTTACACGTCCAGTCCTGAAGATGAGGAGTTAATTGGATATATCCATTTGCCAGCTCGTGATGACTTACGAGTTATAGAGACCTTCGTAGGTGCCGGGAGCGAGCGTTGCCAAATATGCCGAGACAGCATCATCCTGGTATGAAGGACGAGGAAACTGGTGTGAACGAGCCCTATTGGTCAGGAGGTGTTACGGAAGGCAGAGGCCACGCACATAGTTACTAAATCCACCCCCAGAAAAGGACGCTGCAGTCTCGGGGATGTTGACAGTTCCACCAACAGCAGTCACACTTCAAGTAGCAATTGATTATTTTAGTTCAGTGCTCGTTCAGACAGGTCACTTACTATGGGCATGAAGCAGGGAACACAGGCAAGAACTTCGGGGTTTTAAGTTCATCATTGGAATAACACTGGTGCCCGAGAGGCTCATCAGCAATGGCAACGCCGTCACCCACGCCCCCGTCGCCAGACGAGAACATCACTGAGACACCACGAGCACCGAGTGCTGCCATGCCATTGCAAATACGAGTCGCGTAAGACTGCGGCACGCTTTGCTCATCGTCACCATAACTTGTAGAAATCGATTGAGGAATTTTAACCTGCGAAAGGACATATTCAAGCCACTGATTATCTGGATTGTCAACATTGAGTTTTAACCGCAATCGCTTAAACGCACGTATGAGTAGGGCTCGTTTGTATCACTCGCTGTCAATAAATCAGAGTCAAAAGGAGGCTCCCCTCTAGTGGAGTAGAACGTTCCGGGCGTGGGCCAAGTAAGCCCAAAACTGAACTGAGTGTCAAGGTTGGCCTCGAGGCCTGCTGCTTCATAGCTCTGGTTGTTCTTGCCACCTACGAAGCACAACAATAAGGCATCGCCGACAGTAACTCGATCTCGACATACCATGAACGGACAAAGAGGTGTAATTTGAGCCATAAGCAGATGGGTTCTGAACCTGGTAGAATTGCTGAAGATCCACGTCATTGGTAGACTCGTTGAGATAACCAGTGATACCAAGAGCATTGTCGTTAGTGGCAGACGTTTTATAATCCACCGCGTTATATAACTGTCGTAAGCACGAAACGGTGATTGTGTTGTTGCACCTCGCATCAACCTGGTTGCCTGCAGGCCCTGTGATCGTTGAACCAGATAGACTGGAATCCGCAGGCTGCACATGATTAGTCCAGTGCAGCGTGCTTTTGAACGCCTTGAAACGAGCAAACATAGTAGTGGGCTGAATGAGATCGACGTGATCGTGCAAGATCTCAGGGAGGCTGTAGCTCATCGTCCGGATGATGCTCTCTCCAGTCTGAGCGTGCTTGTAAACATGATAATCCTAGGTATCTAGCCATCAATGCAGATATTCACAAATGACATCCACTTGCTTACAGTAGTCAGCATCACCTCAGCGAGACCGACAGGGACACGGATAGTAACCCAATCCTTTGCAGGTGATTGGATGACATCTTCTTCCGCTAAACCGTGCAAGGCAAGCCATTTCCTGACGACGGCAAGAGTCTCAGGGTGGGGAGCCATGAGTGCTTCGGTCTCCTGCTTCGACAAGTGCGCCCCATAACGTGCGTGGCTTGGGTCGCTAACTTCCCGAAGGTGTTGCTCGAGTTCCGGAAACTTGGGCTGAGGCAGAGCGATCTTGAGCTCAAGCATGTGATGCTTTGGTGCAGGAGCATGCTTGTACCACCCACTAGGTGGACCATGGATACTCTCTTTCACCTTTTGCTGGTAACCCCAGAAAGGCATCGCACTAGCCAGGGCAGCCGCGAAGGGGAGACTAAGCAGAGCGAGTCTCATCGTCAGCATGCAACAATTGGGGAGGGTTTCAACGCCTACGAGTCAGTCAGAGCTCGCATCGTTAATTTATATCGAGAACAAAACTTCGAATAACGTCAGGCAATCTGTTTACTAAATTGGCTCTGCACTTAAAACGTTATTAGATCTCGTTGATGCAATAGGTGTTCTAGTACTTACTGTAGTTGATTACTTCACGACAAATGACCAAAGCCAAATGCATCAGGCGTCAAAATCGCTGGAGTGATGTGGGTCATACGGTGAGTGTGAGCACGTACACTAACAAAACCATCATAATCTGCCCTTGCATACTATTTGTATGTAGAATATGCAGGTAGGATGCACGTTATTATTAAAGTCTACTCATCAGGAATTCCGTATGTGCCACACGCACCGTAATGGGTAGGTAGTCTCATTGCAAATTCTAATACCGGCAATTCTAGATGTATGGGCCCTTCTTTCCTTCTGATTGGAACCTCCCATGGTCTGTAACGCGCCGATCGTGGTAGCTGCAGTCTTGATCAATGCCACCTCATGACACATCCTTGTAATTCGCAACGTTGATGCCGCTGCACTAAACCCCAGTCTGAATATTGTGCAAGTCTTCTAACGGAGATTTGACAGACTCACAATCTGTCTCCTCCAGCACGTTTATACCTATTCTTACTATAATGGATTTACAGAATCCACTGCAACGCAAGGCACTGTGTTGCAGGCCTCCATATCTCGAACTGCTCTCAAAATTACCACACTCTAGGCCCATTCCACGTAGACCATGGGGCCAAAATTTAGGGCCGTCTGCCTCCTGCTTCGAGTGAAAAGTTGAGTATCCAATGAGTGAAGTTTGCAGTCCAAAGAGGTGTCTATTACAGGTAGAAGTCAGTTGGTGACGGTAGACAGGAGTTGCCGTGCAAAGCCGAGCGGAGTTAAGACCGGCATCAAATTCTCAGAAAGTCTACTACGTGTCCACGGGAGTTCGCGCATTTTTCGCAAAACGGTTATTACTCCACATTGCACAAACAAACAAAATTAATTCTTTGACAGTTTGATAGTGTGACATCAAAAGTACAACGTCTGCTAGTTTCTTCTTCGAAAATCGACGTGTTGAGTCCAGCAGAGAGTTACTGTGCAGAAAAGTGCATTTTCCCTAAAGTTCGTGCACTTCGTCACACTATGTCACACGTCTGCCGCAATGCCTTTTCACGCTCCGCATAGTCCGCACCGTTTGAGTGTTATGAAGTTATGTATGGTGTAAAGCATTTCGGCATTGCGGAGTTTTGATTACACATAGTGTTGTGCAAAGCCTGGCCTGAAGCCCTAGGCTGAGAGCATGTTCGGATAGAAATATTTGCATGAAGTTTTGAAATATTGATCACGCAAATTCGTCGGCATTGTCCCGAAAGTTCGTCGGAGCTTAAACCTTCCTTGTCTCCTACTGTACATACTAATCGATGGAGATCTCTTGCTCCTCCTCCTCCTTTGATATCCACCAGCGCAATAGACTGATCGCTGGTGTCATCGCGATCACTGCGATCTGTACTCAATATACCAATCTTATCATGGCTCAACCTGAGGCCCATGAAATCCCTACAAGGCGCACACCTGCGCACTGGAGAAACAAAGAAATCACCGCACTTGTTAATCATATGTACGATAACCGTGCAAGTGGTGATACCTCCGGCAACTTCAAGCCACAGGTGTATACTTCTGCACTAACAGTCATCAACGATGATCCCGACCTTCAACCATTGCGGATCGGTCCAGCAAAGACCGTCAAGATGGTGAAGAGCAAGTGGGCATCAGTGCGTCCATCCAACTCTGTCCTTCACTCACTTTACTGATTCAATATTTCAGCTCAAGTCTATTCATCACGCTATCGATAAATACCGCAACCAGACCGGTACACACTGGGACGGTGCCAATGGAGCTGGGATCCATGGCCCTGCAGCGTCCGCTGTGTGGGATTCGTATGTTGCGCTCAGTGTACGTCAGCCCCTTTTATTTTTCAAATAAAAGCTAACATTTTTTAGTCCAATTCTCACATGCGTTCATTCCGCAACACAGGCTGGCCTTACTTTGAGAAAATGCAGGAAATAATTCCCTTGGGTGGCGCTAGAGGGCGCCATGCCTTCCACCCAGGTGTTATGGGTCCTCCACCAGTACCAGACGCTGATGAGGATGAGCCTGGCCTTGCTCAGGCTCCAGCCCTCTCTTCTGCCAGTCCTTCCACCACTGCCAATCATTCATCTGTCACCGGCCCTTCATTCACCACCGGTCCTCGCTCTAACACCGGTGGTCTCTCTACCGCTACCAGCTCTGCTGGTGCCAAGCGCCCTTATGAGGGCACCAATGTGGATTCTGTTGAGACCACTTCGTTCGCGTCGACCCATGATTCGGCTCAGCCGGTCTCCACCACCTTGGTGTCCGCCCCCCCCTCAAAGAAAGCACGTTCGCACGTCTCTCAGAAGATGACCAATGCGGCCAAGATGAGCAGTGCAACACAGGCCGCCAAGATCACGCCTGCTGCTGCCGTGATGGGACTGCAGGGCACTGTCAACCGTCTGACAGATATCTTTGAAAAATTCATTGTTAGTTCCATGAATAATGGTACCCTTCCGCCTCCGCCTCCGCCTCCACCTGTGCCTAAGCCTGAGGACAGCATGGACTTGGTGACATGCGCGGCACACCTACTGCAAACTGAGGATGCTGACATGCCTGCTGACCAGCGTGCTGTCTTGATAATGGTCCTTGGTGAGAAGAACAACGAGAGATTCCTGAAGTTCTATGTGTCCCTCACGGACAAAGCAATCAGGCGTCCGTTTATTGAGAAGCTCATCACAGATGCAATGGCGGGCTGAAAATATATCATGTACCTTGTTCTTTACCGCTTGCTTTCGTTTCAATGTATGTACAATACTACATGTTCACAACTGTCGCAATGCATCAATGTTTGTCTGATTTTGGAGGCTACAAAGTGGTACTCGAAGTGTGAATTATTCCGAAGCAAAACTGTCCTGATCCTCATCCTCATCAAAAGCGTCCTCGAGGTCCTCATCCCCCTCATCAAGATCTATCCCTTCGAAAGTACGTTCTAACAAGATGCGCTGATAGTCATTCCACATCGCAGATGCAATGCGATCACGCATCGCAGATCCTTGACGAAACTCAAGTTCGTTATCTTCTTCGATAGCCGCAATATCGTCTTCTTCAGCATTTCCACCAGAATATCCACCCTGCCAGTCTTCGTCGTCATCTTCATCGTCGGCTTCGTTGGTGGGGATGTTTGTGGGATCATGCACGCGGATGAAGTTGTGAACGGCGCACAATGCGGCGGGAATTCGCGCTTGCAACTCCATGGCATATGCAGGCGGCAACAGCAAGATCCGAAAACGACGCTTCAAAACACCAAAGATGCGCTCGATGACGTTTCTTGCTGATGCGTGTCGCAAATTAAATAGTTCTTCTTTATTAGCAGGCCTGTAGGGAAGATGAGTTCCAAATTGAGCTTGATTCAAGTAAAAGGACCTACCTGGTGTTTGCGCGTCCCCATTCAGCTAGGTGATAGCGCACACCTCGGTATGGCACAAGTAAGCCGGGACGGAGTGGATAACCCGCATCTGCAAGAAAATACTTGCGTGGGGGAACTTTGAAGTCGTTCAGACACGCATCTTCATAAACACGAGCGTCCGTTGCAGAGCCTTCCCAGCCGGTGAGCGCGTAGGTAAATTTGAGATCGAAATCACACGCAAAAAGGCAATTTTGAGATAGGAACCCCTTCCGATTACGATACACAGCACGGTCAGTAGCCCTGGGGGTCACCTGAATATGGCTCCCATCTATTGCACCAATGGCACCTTTAAAAAAAGGCCACCACTTAGGGTTTCTGCGGACTTCGCGAGGGACGGACCCATCAGGAAACTGGACGTATGTTGAATAGAATGGTTCGGAGGAGAAAGAAACGAGGATCTTGCGAAAGTACCTATGCACTAGAGTCAGATATCCACTGCATCCTAGATAAAAATAAATGTACTTAGATATTGTTTCGTTTGAGTGTTGGAATCTCTCCCCGACATGTCTGACTGATAGGCTGGTCACCGAAGCGTACAGAAAGATAGCGAGTTGTTCCTCGAGGGAGATGAATTTGGAATCTGAGTGGCCCATAGCGCGAAGCTGAGTGATAAGCTCCACAAAGGCAGAGGCATGCATGCCAAGTTCACAGCGGATGCGCTCTGGGTGACCAGTTAGTAATTCAATAACCCAGTCCTGCCCAGAGAGGGCCGAGGTGTGATATGGTTGTCGGTCCTTGGGATATATGGTCTGCAATGTACCATGTGTTGCAGCGACTACTATACTGATAACAAGTCCTATACATTTAACAAGACGATCCCGAACCTCCGGTTGAGGATTGGAAACGAGCAAGGCGAGCCGTTGACGATCCATTTCGAATTGATCTTCTTGAGCATCCATGACGAGGAGATATATGATATGTGATATACCTTTGAATATCAATTGATAACAGCTGCTTATTTAATTAAAGCTCCGACGAACTTTCGGCACAATGCTGACGAATTTGCGTGATCAATATTTCAAAACTTCATGCAAATATTTCTATCCGAACATGCTCTGAGCCAAGCCAGGCCCTGTTGGGCTGGGCTGAGCCGGGCTTTGGAGTAGGGTCTATGAGGGCTTTTGTATTGAATATATAGACTCAGTTGACTATACAAGCAACTGAATTGTTAGATATACCTATTGAATATATAGACTGAATGAGAGTATTAGTTAGATAGATAGACCATTAATGAAAGTGTCTCACCTCAGTTGACTATACAAGCAACTGAGGTGTGTTGAGTACGAAGACCGAGAATAAACGAATGTGATTATGTAAGTAGATAAGTCACGTGTGACAATAACCATCATCGTCGTTTGTACTAACTTCCAACACTCCCTTTCAAACGACGACTCGAAGACCAAGCTCATATGCGAAGTGCTTTGCCTTGACGCTCAGAAGGGCTTTCGTTAGCGTGTCGGCGACCATGTTCTCCATTGGACAGTATAGGAGTTGAATGGAGCCATCCTCAACACAGAAACAAATGTAATGGTAACGGATATCGATGTGTTTGGTGCGTGCGTGATAGCTTCCGTCCTTCGTGAGTGCGATCACTGACTGATTGTCACTATACAGTGTTGTAGGGTGTTGTAATGGCCGGAAGACCTCTCCGATGAAACAATGGAGCCATTGGGTCTCCTTGGCTGTGTGAGTGGCCGCCACAAACTCTGATTCTGCCGTTGACAGTGTCACCAACTCCTGCTTCCTTGAGCCCCACAGTACTGCACCTCCATCCACCAAGAATGCGAATCCGGTTATTGCACGCCTATGTTCTTGGCTTGTGCCATCAGCATCAGTGTAGCCCACTAGCCCTGCTCCACTAGTGCCAAATGTAAGTCCCAACTTCCTTGTTCCCAGCAAATAATGATAGACTCGTTTCACTCCCTCCCAGTGTGTCCATCCGGGCTTGTCTGCGAACTGCGCGAGTGTCAATACAGCGAACACTATATCTGGGCACATTCCAACAGCCAGATACATCAAGGATCCAAGTGCCGAACAAAATGGGACTCTCTTCAACTCAGCAATTTGCATTGTTGTCGTAGGGGATTGGTCCTTTGTGTATTGGATGCTTGGGTCCATGGGCACTGCTGCAGGCTTGGCGTCAATGAAGTTGTACTTCATGATGATGGCGCTGACGAATGATTCCTGTGATAACGAAATGGTGCGTGCTTTGCGATTCCTTGTTACTTTCATCCCTAACAACCAGCTGATAGGTCCTAGGTCCGTTATCCTGAACTGTGATGCAATTTCGGACTTGAACTCTTTGATTAGCTCTTTCGAGCTGCCAGTTATCGTGCAGTCATCGATGTGCGCTGCAAGGATGAGTATGTCTTAACCTATGTGTGCTGTGAACACTCCCCAGTCACTTTCCATCCGAGTGAATCCTAACATGGTGAGTTCTCCACATAGGCGTTTGTACCATTTCAATGCGCCTTGCTTAGATCCATACAGCGCGACTTGAAGCTTCGCGACTTCGTCTTTTCTTCCTAAGTCCACTCCTGGTGGCAACTCCATATAGATCTCTTCATTGGCGTCTAGCTTGCCGTTCAAGAACACGCTGTGGAAGTCGAATACATCAATGTCCCAGTCCTGGCATGCTGCGATGGCAAGGATTAGTCTCAATGATGCGAGACGAGCAACGGGTGAGTAAGTCTCATAGTAGTCCACCCCATACACTTGGGTGAAGCCTCGCGCCACCAATTGGGTTTTGTACTTATTGATTTCTCCTTCAGTGTTCCTTTTTATCTTGAAGACCCACTTGCAGCTGATGACGTTCTTGTTCTTGGGTCGTTTGACGATGTCCCAGGTATGTGCTTCGTTGAGACTCTTTATTTCCGCACTAACAGCTTCTTTCCACTTCGTCCAATCAGATCGCATCTTCGCATCTTCTATGGTGCATGGTTCCAGTCCTTCAGCCTCGCTCATTCCTGCGAACATCGCATAAGCGGTAGGTTCTTCATCAAATCCTGGTTACTTCCTAACCCTTCTCCATAGGCTCCCATGCTTTCACCACCTTGCTCTCCCTCTTTCTCTACTTCCTGCATTCCTCTTGGAATAACTGGGTTGCCTCCTCTACCATCATGGGTACCTTCACCACTGCGCAACATGCGCATGTAGGGAGACTCTGTCCGCTGGCGAGTGGATTGTCTTGGACCAGTTGGTGGCTGTTCAAAGTTTGGGCCGAGTGAGTCATTCTGGGGTTCTTGGTCTACTGGTGGGTTTGCGTCCTGATGATTGGGCATTTGCTGATTGGTTTTTGTAGTTTCGCTCTCCCTCTCAATCAGTGAATGTGGTGTTAGTGCTGGACCTTCCTCGGTTCATCTGTCAAATGAGACGTTGCGTTCGACGGCGATATTCCGGTGATCCTCGAAATAGACTCTATGCACCCCACTTTCCACATCAAAGCCTATCCACCGACCCATGTGTGCTCGCATATCTAGCTTGGAACCGGTTGGGTCATGTACCCATACCTTGGTCCCCCAGACTGGTAGGTCCCCTAAGTGCGGTTTCTTCCCTGTTAACATCTCATATGGTGTCTTTCCTTCCAGCGAGCGTGTGGCGGTGCGATTCTTCACATAAACGGCGTGCTTGATGGCTTCTCCCCACAGGTTCTTTGGTAGACCGCTTGCATGTAGCACTGCGCGGACGCGTTCTAGTAGCATCTGATTCAACCTTTCGGCAACTCCATTGTGCTGTGGGGTGTTGTGGGTGGTGAGTTTTCGAACTGTTTCATGTGATCGAAGGTGTTGAGTGAATTTGTCACTCAGATACTCTCCACTGTGGTGTCTTACTAGGATGTGATTGGCAATAAAATCACCAGTTCTCACTATCCTCCATGGTCAACGGTTCAGACAAATACCAATGGTTGATAACGTGGTCGTTTGTGGGAGGAGGCGTAAATAGCTGGGTCAATCTAAACAACTTCTAATGACTTTAGGTGGGTTGAGATAGTGATCGTTAACTGGCTTGATGCAGTGCTTAGGTACTTGAAGGTTGATAGTTCATTAACTGGCTTGATGCAGTGCTTAGAATGCTAAAGATAAGGATTGTAAATGGTGTAGCCAAATCAATAACTGGCTTGATGCAGTACTACGATGCTACTAGAAGAGGATTGCAAAGGTGTGCAATATGAAGATGAAGATATGAGTCACACAGTACACAATGAATCAGAGTAATATCTTGTAAACACTCCCTATTCTCAAAAATGAGAGGAGATCAAACTAAGCCTCTAACACAATCGAATCAACCGAAATATGTGGCTTCGAAACTAACTTCTCTGCTGCTCAGGCACTCACAATGAGTATGACACAGAATCAGAACAGAGTACACCCTCTTGATGTAGTCCTAAAGCAGCCAAGCTCTTAATATTGTTGAATAAAGTGCTAGTCTTATTTGTCGTCCTCCTAATTGTTAAAAATACGTAAATTCTCCCAACAGAAAAGGTATCCTGTGTTTGTAAAGAGAATGTGACGAAACTACAACTAGATGACTGATAACTGTGTACCAGCTAGTGTAATTCAAGGATTGGCTCAAGGTAGGCCTCAGAAGATCAGTATGTTGTGGGAAATGATGACAAAAGAATGGAGGGAATAAACTAATATTCACTCAGATGTTCACACAAATATAGGGTGAGAAATTCAGGAAGATACTCAAATCCTCCTCCCTCTCTCTAAAAGGGGGATGTCTGTCCTCTCAAAGGAAGCTTATTTCAAAAGGGAGATTATCATTATTCAGAGGGGAAACTGGGCCCCTTATATACTACTCTAAATGTGGCTGTGTAACTATCTATTTAATAAAATATGACTCATCCTGACTCATACTGAGTCATAGTTGAAATGTCTCATGATGACTTGTTCACTTCTCAAATATTCCCATCTATCAACTTTCTTCCTTCAGTTTCCTGACTAATCCATCTCATCTTACTAATCCATTTCATCTGACTAAGCCATTGATCACACATGAACTGTTGAAATATTGGAATGCTACTGTAAATATGTTTCAGAACATACAGAAAAAATATGAAGAATTGTAAAAAACAATCATGAGATTGTGAGAGAATGCTGACTAATGTGTTGTGGTATGTTTGGAACTTATTTTTAAGTTGGATAAGTGTTAATTGAATTATTATGTAGTATTATGGGTTTGTTATGTCTGAAAATTACTCAAATCAAATCATAATGTGTTATGGAAAATTGTTAGTAATTTTGTAAAGTATAGCAGAGAATGTCAAAGCTAAAAAGTAGCCATGACCATGCACAAAACAAGTTTGGTGCGTGTCAACGTGATCATATCATTCCCAAGTTCTTAATACACTAATTAATATCCTGCGCATCATCTTGCATCCCTCTCATATATCCACTGCATTCTCTGATGCATCCTCTGTCGCACACTTTGTCACATTCTCTCACACCCTCTTGCACCTCTGTCACACCTCTGTCGCGCCTTCTGTCACATCCTTTCACACCTCTGTTGTACCTCTGTCTCACTCTCTTGCGCCTCTGTCGCACCTCTGTTGCATGTTGCACCCTCTCGCACCTCTGTCGGATCCGTATGTCACGGACTCATCTGTTAAATGAATACAAAGCCCCAGCCTGAGCCTGAGCCCAGCCTGCAATCTGAGTAGGCCTGAGCCCTGGTAAGCTGAGCCCAAGCCCTGGCTTTTGGGCCAAGATGGGCCTTGCACAACACTAATTACACAGTCTCTATGTAACACTTTGGGCAGATTGTCACGTCTGGGGCTTATTTCTTTATCACAGATGATCCTGACAAGCATGTGCCCTGAATAAATTTGTTTTAGTATTCTCTAATAATGTATAACCATCTCACAATATTTCAGAATTATATGTGGAGATCTGACCTTTAGAGCAAGCCTTCTATGTCTCTCACACTGATAAGTTGCCCATAGAACAAGATCTACTTTGGTTTTCTTCAAAAATATATATATATGGCAGTGTGTATTATGTTTAAATGAATCCAGATCTATCATAGATAAGGATTCTGTGCAGAATTACATGTGCTAGAGTCAATGCATGGACTCTTGGGACACAGACTTCTGGGACCATCTAGTGGTTTTTCAACAGGCCAGTGTCTCGACCAGTGGCAGAATGGTGGCAGCTCAGCAAAATCATGCGGGGCTTGAAATTTTACATCAGCTACTTGTTCTGCCTTCAGCACAAGAAGCAAAAAAGAGTGCTTCACACACTTTTTTTAGCTTTTCAGCCTCAGCTGCTGCCTAATAATTCTGAAGGCTCTTGATGAGCATTGTTCCTTCATCACAGGAAGCCAAGGAGGGCTGTGCCCTCCTTTGGCTTCCTGGCCTCAGGCTGCATCCTAATAAATTGTGCATTTTGAAAAAGAGGTACATTTATGAGCAGCATCTCGAAAAAACTCAAAGTACATATAGTACATAAGATCAATCAGTTCTACATTCTTTGAGCAGGATTTTGACAAAGTAAAATTACAAAATATGTAACAATATCATTGAATGTATTTATTTTCCCACCTTCTCTCTCCCATCTCCTTACTGTTTTCAAGTCTCTACATTGTCTTTTTCTTCCTTTTTATTTTTTCATAATCTTCTGTCACTCATTCCTGATTTCTTTTATCTCATATCACCACATATTTGTTTTCTCCCTGTCTGTAATTGTATTATATGTTGTTCCATTATTTGCTGTATATATACATATACTACCATAACAATTACAGTAGGGAAAAAACTCAAATCTATCTTCTCCTACTCAAACACATCTTTTATTATTATTTAATGCCATGTACATATACAGTTATCAACATTATGCTAAGTTCCAACAGGTGACGTTATTTGAGTTGCCACTTGAAATATAAATGAAAACCATGTGAGTTACCAAAAAGAGGTCTATGTTACAAGTAACATCAGTCACGTGGCCCCCCTATCATTTTCCCTTCATCCTCACCCTCACCATCTACCGGCTTGTCCTCCTTTACTGACTTTCCATTGACCGGATCCTCGGGACCATTCACGTCCCTCGCATCGCCTGCCTCTATGCACGTGCACGCACATTCCTCCTTTGATTCGACCACCAATGTGGTCCCACACCTGTGACTCGGTCTGACTCATGCCACCAATGTGGCTTTCCTTTTCTGTTCCCTTCTGACTGCGGATCTGTCATATCCCATATTCCGGACCTACATCCGACAATGTTCCCACGCCTCATCCGGACCTCCGGACCCCCTGTCCATGTCCTTTATCTGTCCAGATGCCTGTACACCCGGATCCCTGTACCTTTGCATATCCACACATCCGGATCCGAAACCCAGACACTCAAATCTGATATCCACCTGCCAGGATCTCCGGATCCGACCTATGCTCCATATCCAAACCCAAACCTTAAATCAGCGCTCATCCCCTTATGGTAATCACCTGTTTCTGGACCCGGACCAATCACTCCCTCACATCCAAACATCTCTGGACATCTGGATCCGACCCGCATCTATCTTCCGTGCCTTTTCCCTTTGTATGTTCCTTCTCGAGTTAGTCTATATTCATTTTCCATACCTCATTTCATTTCCGCCTTTATTTTCCTATGTTCTCATTTCCGTCTTCATTTACTATTTTCCGATAGACTAGTGTTTGACTTTTCTACATCCTCCATCCACAGCCTCGCATAGCTTCGGACTGCGCTGACTGATTCTCCGTTATGTCCTCCATAGTATATAAACCCTGTAGAAACTCCTGTATTTCCTTAGTCTGAATATTACACATATTAGTCCTCGCACTAGACCTCACACTAAGTCCTCATACTAGTTCTAGTCCTCCGACTTAGTCAATATCCATCTCAGGCCTAGGGAGGAATTCCCTAGGCCGGAGCTCCGCTCCTCTGCTCCTCTGCTCCTCTGCTCCTCTGCTCCTCTGATCCTACACTCCTCCGAGTTTCCGGAAGTTCCTCCGGAACTTTCCCGCGGTCCTCCGGACCTATTCTGCTTCGGACTTTGTCCCTGCAGCCTTTCCTCTGTATCCATTCTACTCAGGATTCATCCTGAGTAGCCATTACACATATCTGTACCAGGACAAAACCTCATAGTAATTTCCGGAAGTTCCTCCGGAACTTTCCCGCACCCCTCCAAAAGTTTCTCGCACTCATCCGGATCCGGATAGTCCTTCCGGACTTTCCCGTGCTCCTTTGGAAGTCCTATGGACTTCCTTGGACTTCCTCCGGATGTCATCTGCAATTAAGGGCACATACTTGGGTAAGGGGTGCAGCGCACAAGCTGAAGCCAAGCCCTTTGGAACCAGTCCTACCCTTTGTGCACGGTCTTAACAGGATCCCCGCACGTTGTATTCTTACCGTTGGTCTGTTCCAACGTTTCTCGGTCTCATTCCACATTCGACCATCCATCACTAATCCGGCTCTGTTGCCAATGCACCTATACCATTCTCATTTCCCCTTTACCCTTACCTACTGTGCGGTAGCCTTGCCCTTAACTCTCTCCACTTAGTATAAGTAGTCGGTCATCTTGTATTAGATTCTCTAACTTGAATCTACTCAATCTTCCCTGGAACATACTCCTCTCTGAACGCCCCTTTGGCTTCAGTCTCTAGTATCTTTTCTTAGTTGCTCATCGCGACTAAGTCTATCTCGATCGACCTCATTGTTCAGACAAGACTGTCCTTACTTTGAGTGACTTCATAGACATCTGTCTTAGAAGTCACGTGACACGCACGTACTGTGATCACTGCCGACTCGTCGTTGCCAGTCTCACTTGCCATACCGGATCCTTCTGGTTACGTCACGAACGTTAGCGGACGACACCCCTCTTAGGGCTCCGCATAACAGATCTATTTGAGTGCATAACAGTCTAAGTGAGCTAAGTGCTCATATATGGCCTTTAGCAAAAGCCATGTGAGTGCCCAGCCATTCCTGAAACCCATTATACTTTACTTCTTAGATATTCACTGCAGAAATAAGATCTTAGCCAGACCCTAATCAGAGAGAGATGGTGTGTATAATATGACTCTAAATATTGTAGTGATGGTCCTAGTGCTGGACTCATGTCCTGCAATTTCTACATGTCTCACAGAAGTACTTCTCAACACTCCTTGGCTGTTTTGAATAGTGTTTTAAAGTCTGGTTTGGTCCAGTCTTTTTATTCCCCACAATATCAAAAAGACTGGACTGGACTGATAAAGACCAATATTTTTGGTCTTTTGCAGTCCTACATCCATTTTTAGACTAGTTGCAACCAAAACCAGTCATGTAGAAGTGTATTATTCCTTCCTGCAATTTTAACGGTGCTATATTTGTATTAAACAGTTGAGATTTAAGCGAGATATGAGCATTTTACCAAACTGTGCCCTGTAAGTGAGTCAAATATGAAATATCAAAAAATAAAAGTTGTTACAAGGGTTAGGTGTCTCAATACTAACTGTAGTCATAGCATAGATGAGTCTATCACTTGTCCTACCTTATCAATTGATTATGATTTTGTTTAGATAAAAGCTAAGATACAAGACATCACATGAATTTGTGGGTTTTTCTTGTAAGTCTCATAACTTTATCAAATCTTAATCATTTTACATGATTGGACCACTGTTGGAATCACTGTAGCACTCAGGTCAGCGCTGAGCATGTATCCTGCCAAATTCACTTCGATAACCCACATTGTATTCCCTGACACTCCCTTGACCTTCCGAAAGCTCCACACATTCATCCAAGTCATCTGAAGGCCGTCCATTCATTTCCAAAGCCTATTTTCACTCATGATCCACTGCACCATGACCTGTCTGTGTCCATTTAACTTTGCTGGTGCATTTTCACTTTGTTTGTCTATTATTGAATATGTCATAGGGACAGATACATTATTGGCCTGTTTGAAGCTTTGTTTATTTGAATAGTATGTATAGCAGCATGCCTTGTGCATTATTACATGCATATCTGTGTAGCGACTTGCCTCAAGTCTTATTACATTTTGGATAGTTATCTTGCTACTAGTTTCACCTATGCAATTCCAGATTTTCATGCTGTAGGATATAATCTGGCTTGCTAGCTACCTTGCACTTCACTTCACTTCCCTTGCTACGAGTCATAGTTAGTAGAGTCACTTTCAGATAGTCATACTTCACACAATCAATCTTTTGTTCATTCAGAGTGATTGTTTGGCTTGGCTGCTGCTATTTCGCATCTTGCTGTCTTAGATTTCTTTCAATAGACTTTGCATAGTCATACTTCGGTACTCTCACAAGTCTTATACTTCGACATACTTTGACATACCCGCCATATTCACTTATTTTTCAAATATACACAGAACATTTGAAAAACATAGTATGTTTGAAAAACACAGAGAAGAAAATTAACATTATTGTAAGCTGCTATTTAAAGGACAATAGATGGAAAATATAGCATTCTCCTTGAAGGAACATGATGAATTTTTGCATCATGTCCCACACACAGAAAATCATTGAAACATGAATTACTTTTTTTCAATGTTTTGACAGACAAAATGAGAGGAAAATGCTATCTTCTCAATCAATGTTTTTTGGATGTTTGGTGGAGGAAAATGGGAAAATGCCTACAGTGATATTAATATTTTTGACTGGCTAATACCATGACAGTTTCCTAATGTCAATGTTATTGAACATCTCTGGGAAACTGTTAAGGTCGTGCTCTCGGGGGAATGGATTCGAAGGGCTTTGGCCTCAGCTTGTATGCTGTGCCCCTTTCCCAAGTACTACCCCTTATTTCAGAGACTGAGGATAATGTGCCCAGAGGGTTGGATGAGTATCATAGTAATATCTGGAAGACTTCCAAATATCGGAAACATGTGTAAGGCTAATCCAGACAAGTCTGAACTAGAAACCAACAGAGGATAGACTATAGGAATTGATCCTAAGTCTCAGAGGGTGACAAGAGTTATTTAGACTCGAGTCCAGAGGATGGAAAGAGGACAAACTAAGTTGATATTCGAACTGAGGTACTACAGGACATGTTACAGTCTACTGCAACATCTACAAGAGCCCCCGCTCTGCTAGACTCCCAATGCAGTGGTACGCCGCCAGCACCTAGAAAGACAGCGGTCTGGACCACTGTAGAGATACAACAATTGCTGGACACTACACAAAGTAAGTAGCCAGCAATATAAAAAGTTGTGGTCGTGCACAGCCTAGTCTGCTATACTTGCAAGACAAGTGCATTCGACCCGAGGGGTTTGCTGTATGGTATTAGAATAATCAGTTATAACAAAAGGAAGATAGTCCGAAGCGCGGGAAACAAAGTCTGAAGGTATAATTACGAGTCCGATGTCAAAAATGTCAGGTCCGATGTTTTCGGGTTTCAGGTTAGCAGGTTTGCATTGGGTTGCGTTGGGTTAGCGTTGGGTTTGCGTTGGGAATATAGCGAATGTCGGGGATAGCAAACAGCGGGTTACTGTCAGATGTTTCGGATAAAGAATGGATGATATTGTGGAATCCAACTAAGAACTATGAATATCGGATGACCTCCTCCTACTCGGAGGTAGAAAGGTAAAGTAATAGGTAGGAGGTATGCGAAATATATAGTATCTATGTAGAATTTCGGAGTGCTATAGGCGAAAGTAGTAGCACTGATTTTCGGGTCTGATGTCCTATGTAATAAGACACGATGTACTGTGGACATGTAATAACGCGTTCTACAATGTTAGCGATGTGAAAACAAGTAACTGCACACCTAGTGGGGATAGATACGACAGGACAAGACATAGGGAGGACAAATGCGTGGGAAAACATCGGGTCCGATGCGTGGGAAACGTCGGGTCTGTCGGATTAGCGTCGGGTTTAGCAGGTTAGTGTCGGGTTTAGCAGATAAACATTGGATTGAGCAGGTGAGTGTTGGATAACATCGGGAAGTGGTTATGTGCGATGGGCATTTGACATGCATTGGAAAATAGCTGAATACGAGCCTAGCGCGAGCTCGAGTGCTACACCGCTGTGACACCGCCCCTGGCCTAGAAGGCCTTGTACCTGATCTCCAGAGGCTGTACACCTCATGGACACCTAGACTGGCGCATGTATGCCTCATGCTGCCTCATGTAGATCCGCAGCACCTCTTTGCGCCTCATGGTTGATCAGAGGTTAAGCCTCATGTATCTTATCTTCTTATCAGATCCTCATGGTTAAACCTCATGTATGGCTATCTCTGATAGCATAGATCCATAGATACAGACTGAGCTTGAACCCTTATGTACAGACAGTATATAAGCCGATATATTATTGTATTAGTTCTTTACTTAATCTACTAGGTTGTATCCCAGAAACTAGGTTCATCTTGAACCAGCTTGTCTAAACAACTCGCTCTTTTGAACCTCTGATCGCACTTCTAAGTCGCTCCCCACGCCTTAGCCATATTCTCACTAGACCTTCATCTCGACGAGGCGCCCTACCTTACCAAGATAGACAGAGAGACCTGTCGACCTTCAATCGACCTGTAAGACACCCTTGACACGCTACGCGCTGTAGAGATACAACAATTGCTGGGCACTACACAAAGTAAGTAGCCAGCAATATAAAAATGTTGTGGTCGTGCACAGCCTAGTCTGCTATACTTGCAAGACAAGTGCATTCGACCCGAGGGGTTTACCGTATGGTATTAGAATAATCAGTTATAACAAAAGGAAGATAGTCCAAAGTGCGGGAAACAAAGTCCGAAGGTATAATTATGAGTCCAACGTCAAAAACGTCGGGTCCGATGTTTTTGGGTTTCGGGTTAGCGGGTTTGCGTTGGGTTAGTGTCGGGTTTGCATTGGGAATATAGCGAATGTCGGGGATAGCGAACAGCGGGTTACTGTCAGATGTTTCGGATAAAGAATGGATGATATTGCGGAATCCAACTAAGAACTACGAATATCGGATGACCTCCTCCTACTCGGAGGTAGAAAGGTAAAGTAATAGGTAGGAGGTATGTGAAATATATAGTGTCTATGTAGAATTTCGGAGTGCCATAGGCGAAAGTAGTAGCGCTAATTTTCGGGTCCGATGTCCTATGTAATAAGACACGATGTACTGCAGACATGTAATAACATGTTCTACAATGTTAGCGACGTGAAAATGAATAACTGCGCACCTAGTGGGGATAGATACGACAGGACAAGACATAGGGAGGACAAGTGCGCGGGAAAACATCGGGTCCGATGTGCGGGAAACATTGGGTCCATCGGATTAGCGTCAGGTTTAGCGGATAAACATTGGATTGTGCGGATGAGTGTCAGATAACATTGGAAGTGATTCGTGTGTCTGACATGCATGGAAAAATAGCTGAATACGAGCCTAGCATGAGCTCGAGTGCTACATCTCCTAGGGGCTTTGAATACTGACTGTCCTCAGTCATAAACTTCGTCAATAACCTGAAATGTCAGGTGCATGAAAATCTGTCGGAAATCATAAGAATGCGTCGGATTAGATAGGGGACATGTTGGAGGGAATAATGTTCTGGTTCGAACAAATGTGTTTCCGAATGTCCGAATTCTTCGGCTGATGCGCGGGAAAATCGGGTAAAACAGCGGGGATGTGTGATTGTTTCGGCGTTCCGCAGTATAAGTACCAGGCTGAATGAATCTGATAATGCGAGGTATTTCAAGCATAGGGGAAGTGATGCGAGGGTATGCAAAGTGCAGGAATGTATCCGAGCAGCCGATGTTAGCGCGGGAACTTTCCGAGTGCAAGTCCGAAAATGCACTGATATGCATCTGCTCTTGTTCTGTCATCTTTTTCAGCTTCTCTGCGCAATCTATCACTTTTCTCCATCTGCACAAATATATCCAGTGTGAACAACTCAATGTCCGAGTGTCCAAGTGCAATGTCCGAAATTCCAAGGGTCGGGTCCGATGTTTTGCGAATGTCCGATGTCCGATGTCCGATTTCCCTATGTCCGAGTCTCGAGTTCGTACTATATGTCCCCCACTAGGGTGCTAACAAAAAACAAGAAAAAAATAATCATAAGTGCAAGCAAAACACAAATTTTCGGACATCAAAACAATACTGGGTGCAGAGTACCGTCTGACTTGGTTTCTTCGAGCAACTTTCTTCTTTCTCTTTGTCTGGTTTTCTGATTGTCCGATTCTCTACATAGATAATGGTGCAGGTGCGAGGCTGCGGTGCGAAGGTGAAATGCTAATTAATCGGGTGAGTCCGCACAATGTCCGAAAATCAAATGTCCGAAAATGTCTGTCCGAAATTCTTGTCCGAAATTCTAGTCCTTTGATGGGTATGTGAGGGGGGTATGTGCAAGGAATCTCCAGCCTAATCCTGGGGTAAAACAAGTGATATCGTATGTGCGAAATACCATATGTATATGTCCGAAATTTCGGGTTTCGGACTGTCCGATGTTTTCGGGTGTCATACTACGGTTTCTTCCTGATAGATGATCTTCATCGGCTTTCGTATAGGTCAAATGCGATCCGGGAGTGCGAGGGTCGGCAATACTGGTAGGAGCGATTGACGGGATACTTGTGACGGAATTTTCGGACCTGGTATGAAAAACATCGGGTTAGTGAAACTGTAGCATATACTTTCAGAAAATTGTCGGATATCTTCGGATTGCTTTGGGGAGGTCTTTCAGGGGTTTCGGATGGTGACTGGGGTGTTTCTTTTCCTGACTGGTGCGATATGATCCTACAAAAATAAACATAACCTGTGAATGCTAAAGTGGCAATTGCTGCAAGAACAAAATTGTCAGTGATGTCCGATTGACATACTACTTGTCCAAGTTCATAATCTGAAGCTCCAATGTCAATATCTCTGATTTCTGAATGATCTGATCCGAAATTTTCGGGTATATCGTGTCCTAGGAGCTTTAGCTCTATACTCTGTGTTTCGGATGTCAGTACATTAGTTTCAACGGTCTCAACAAAGGTCTCTGAATTTTCCGAAGCTGAATTGATATGTCCGAAGATCATGTCCGAAATTTCGGGTGCATCAGACCCGAAAATCGGGTTGGCAGAAACTACAATGGAGTATACTGCTTCAGATACTTCAAGTTCTTCAGATTTGGTGTGGGTTTCAGAGATGGTTGCAGATTCGGAGATCTTCTCTTGAACTTTGGATGCTTCTGGTTCTTGGGAACTGTGCATTGGGTCGGACATCGGGTCCGGACTTTCGGGTCGGACATATCGTCGGCCTATTTCTGGGTACAAGTCCAAAATCGTGTTAGCAAAATCTTCGTAGTTGTTACCAGTGCATTCTTCGCAAGTTTGCCATAGTTCTCTTTCATTGTAGTCCATATACTTCAAGGCATACTTAATCCGAATATTTTCGGGTAAATCAGCGTGTTGTCTGAGCTGGTCTACTGTGTTCAAGAAGTCTAGAACTTCATACGGGTTACCTGAAAAACGCGGGGCTAATCGGGAATTGGCTATTGGCATACTGTGTGTGTTTCGGGTTGCGTCCATGGTGCAGGAAATGTCGTAGTCAAAATACAAAAATGTCGGGTGCGTCGGATCCGAAGATAGGGGCTTTGGGTCCGAAAATCGGGATGTCGGAAACGGCGGAATGACCTAGATAACAAAAATCAACTAAACCAAAGAAACCCCTCGCAGTGGGCTCCAGTTGTAGAGATACAACAATCGCTGGGCACTACACAAAGTAAGTAGCCAGCAATATAAAAATGTTGTGGTTGTGCACAGCCTAGTCTGCTTATACTTGCAAGACAAGTGCATTTGACCCGAGGGGTTAGCTATTGGATTGGTCTGTAGTTAGTGAAATGATAAAACAGTCAAAAGTCCGAGCACGGGAAACAAAGTCCGAAGGTATATCTATGATGTCCGATGCCAAAGCGTCGGGTCCGATGTTTTCGGGTTTCGGGTTAGCGGGTTTCAGGTGCGGGTTTAGTGGGTTAGCGGGAAGGGCGATAGCGAACGTCGGGAAAGCGAGCGGTATGCGGATATATGATAACGGCGGGTATTTCGGACAGAAAGAGCGGTAATATTCGCAATGTCAACTAAGAACTACGAAATATTGGGTTTGACCACTAAGTATCGGGGAACAGCTCCCTACTACTTGGATAATGAAAATACTCGTAGTCAGTCCAATATATATATAAGTACGTAGAAATCCGGAACCTTATAGGCGAAAGTAGCGGCCGACGATTTCGGGTCCGAAGTACATGTAAACTAACATGAGGCGCTGTGGATGATGGGAAAACATGTAATAGCGCTTGCTACGATGTGAGTAATGTGTGAAATAATCAACTACTCACCTAGTGGGGCTAGCAAGACGGGACGGGACACGGATAGGGCAAGAGCGCGGGAAAATATCGGGTCCGATGCGGCCAAAACGTCGGGTCCGCTTGTCAAAGCGTCAGGTTTGCGTCGGGTTGTGTGGGTTACATTAGAAAGTGACGGGCATTGAACGTGTATCGGGAAATCAGTGAATACGAGCCTAGCGCGAGCTCAAGTGCTACAGCACGACGGTCCATTCAGACCAGTGTTGAGAAGACCTATCCTAGTCGTAACAGGACATATACAAGAGTTTATATACTAAGTGACTAATGGAAAGATCAGTAAGCAAGGGTCTGAGGCTATGTATGAAGTATAAGCAAAGTCTATCAGTAATGAGCATTGCTCATCAATCGAGAGTCAGAAATTAAACACAGGTTTATGGATCAGTAAGAGTAGTGGAAGTAAGCATAACCAAGAAGCTGGGAACAAGGAATACCATATAGAGAAATAAGCTGTGTTAATGTGATATGAACAGGAAATGGATTCAAAAGCTTTATTGGATCTTGGATCAGAAATAGTGTAGCACTCGAGCTTGTGCTAGGCTCATATTCAGCTATTTTCCCATGCATGTCAAATACCCATCACACACGAATCACTTCCCAATGATATCTGACACTTACCTGCTCAATCCAATGTTTATCTGCTAAACACGATGCTAATCCACTAATCTGACACTAATCTGACAAAACCCGATGCTAACCCAACAAAAATGTCCTTCCTATGTCATGTCCTGTCGCATCTATCCCCACTAGGTGCGCAGTTACTTGTTTTCACATCACTAACATCATAAAATGTGTTATTACATGTCTGCAGTACACCATGTCTTATTACATAGGACATCGGACCTGAAAATCAGCACTACTACTTTCGCCTATAGCACTCTGAAATTCTACATAGACACTATATATTTTGCATACCTCCTACCTATTACTTTACCTTTCTACCTCCAAGTAGGAGGAGGTCATTCAATATTTAGTAGTTCTTAGCTGAATTCCACAAATATCATCCTTTCTTTATCCAAAACACTCAAAAACATCCGACATTCGCTATCCCTGACATTTGCCATATTCTGGACGCTAACCTAACACAAACCCGATGCCAACCCGATGAAACCCGCTAACCTGAAACCCAAAAACATTGGACTCATAATTATACCTTTGGACTATCTTTCTTTTCATATAACTGATTATTCTAATACCTTATAGCAAACCCCTTGGGTCGAATGCACTTGTCTTGCAAGTATAGCAGACTAGGCTGTGCAAGACCACAACAACATTATATATTTGGCTGAGAGTTTATCTACATGTTCCCTACTCAGCCATTGTTATATCGTTACAACGGATTTGTCCATCAGATCAGATCGGATTTAGGGTCCATTTGTACAGAGATACAGGGGTCTCAATGTGGATGTGTGGAGGTGCAGGAATCCGGTGTAGGGACTGATTTCTGGCTAGGCTTATAGAGACTGTTTTACTCAGTGTTATATTTGCACCTTAGCTTACATAAGAAGTTATCTGTTCACTAGTTACCAGTATGAGTCTGAGTCTTCAGTAAGTTTCTATCATATTTCCTCTCCTCTGAGCCTTGAGCCTGGTCCAGAAACCCTTTAGGGTTGAATAGCAGCTAGGTTCTGTAAGACCCAACATCATCATTAGAATTGTTGTACCCACACCAGGTGTATGGGGATCTAAACAGATAGAGGACTGGAGACATGGACAAGGAAGGGGTCCGGAGGTCTGGATGAGGCGTGGGAACATTGTCGGATGTAGGTCTGGAATGCAGGATATGACAGAAACACTTAAGAAGAAGCTTTAAGCTGATGAAACTTATTCTAAAAGAGTATAGAAGCTATGAGAAAAATAATAGTGGAATGGAGAAATATTATAGCAGAGGATTGCTAGAAATTGATTGAGAGTATGCTAGAAGGATAGAGGCAGCAATTAAAGCTAAGGAAAGGTCACACAAAGTACTAGAATATCTGATTATTACTGTAAAATACTTAAGTCAAAAAACTGCCTGTATAAGTTATTATTTATAAGCCTTATATCTTTGTCATGTCTTTACTAATTCTCATAAAATAGTGCTAAAATGGGGGCCCTGAAGTAGTACTACAATATGGTACCAGAATGTTCTTAAGGTGCTTGTGTATTCTTACACAATATCATAGATAGTAAAAAATATGAAAACATATAAAAAGTTTTTTGAGCCACTATATGATACTTAAACTGAGTTGCCTTTATAATCTTGCCTCTTATTCTACTAGTACAGATCAATTGTTTTGATCAGGAATGCTTAAATTAGACAAAAAATCAATGTGCTCATGTGCTATCAATAGAGTAGCAAATAATAAGCAGAATAGTGAGCACTGTCAGCTGCTGGTATCAAACTTATGGCTAGACAGATAGGTATATTGATATGCAGCAATTATGTAAGCCAAGTTATGGCTCAAGTACTCAAGTTGATTAGATGATATTCTAACCTTTAACTATGCTCAAGTGCATTACTGTAATCTTGCCAGATGTCTTAATCATATGCTTTCTTCTTATTCTTCAGCATCTGCTAGATTGGTTTTAAGCAATATAAACCAAACTCCTTGCTTAGAACATACAACTTGTATATATCAGTAATTGTATGAATAATTACATAACCAAAAGGACTAGCTTACCCTACAAGGACCACTCTAACCTTTACCAAGGTAGTAATACCTTAGTAGCAAAATTCTAGGCAAGAACTGTAACTAACTCAAGATATATGTAGGATATTGAGGTAGATTATAATGGCTATAGACAACCAGGTAAAGATTTTTGCATATTTTTATATTACTAACATTAATGATACTACTAGATAGTGAAGGGGTTTCTGTTTGGTCAGTACAAGTACAAAGTCACTTAGCTACAGATGTAAGATATTATGATTATGTCCTGAGAAACTTCATCATTCTATTATTTTTCATTCTTCTATGTATGCTTATTATGTATTATCTTTCCTTACAGTTACTTCTAGCTTACAGTAGGATTACTTATATTTTATATTTCTATATACAGTAGATATGCTCATAATGCATATCGTAACAATGCATAAATCTCATAATGCATGAACTTTTCAGGATCCCGATGATGTTCCTATGTAATTGTTTACATATTGCATATTGCATAATGCATGGCCTCGGCATGGCTTGTATGCATTATGAAGTGCGAAATTAATAGGGTGGGACATAAGGTACTGCATAAATGTATTGTTCCGCTTGTGCGGCATTGTTTCTTTGAACTATGTATAGAAGCTAGCAAGTAATTACAGCAGTATCATACACAAAAGTGTCCCTAAACTTGAAGTGGAAACCCCATGATAAGCCCACAGCATACAACCGACCTGTGAAACAGCGAAAAATCATCACAAAGGACACTCCTCAAACTTCGGCTCTTTCACCTGAATGCTCTTCTCATCAAAATCTCACTCTCTCAGACTGGATGACGGTCTATTCATTCATCGACTCTCATCCTAATGTCACACAAGCCCAAATTGTAGAACACTTTAAATCTCTCAAATCTGGTGCTCTCATTTTCACACAGTCAACTTTGTCTCACAAGTTAAGGGAAAGGTCCAAAATGGAAGCCTGTGTCAACGATAACCCTGATGCATTGTCATCAAAACGGCCAAGGGTTGTCACCAGACCTGATGTCGAGCATGCCTTGATTCTGTGGATCAGGCACATGGAAAACAAACATGAAATGGTGACTGGGCCTATGTTACGAGAGAAACGGAAAAGGTTTGAGGACGAGTTTGATGTCTCAGACAATGAAAGGCTGTTAGGGGAAGCATGGATTCAGTCATTTTGCAAAACCTACAAAATCCGCAAGTACCGACAGCATGGGGAATCTGGATCTGTGGACACTGAAGCTGTTGCTGCAGAACGAGAACATTGTCGCAGGATCTTAGCAAAGTTTGCTCCTCAAGATCGGTGGAACTTCGACGAGACATCCTTCTTTCCATAGTGAGTGTTTATTTCATTTTGTAATTTGCAGTGCTTGATTTATTCATTTTTAGCACACCTCCAGATTGTGGTCTTGCAACACGACAAATGAATGGCAAGAAGGAGAAATTTCGCATATCCATTGGGTTAGCTTGCAATGCAGATGGGAGTGAGAGGCTCGAGCCTATTTTTATCGGCAAGG